TGGTTTAAGTGTGGGGTGTTGATGGTAGGCTATAATTACATATTTTAGTCGCTTATCGCACTCTAATTTACTAGACTTTAATTGTGTTTGAGCTTTAGTTGTTAGTATTTTGCACTTATTGCGTATTTTATGCCTTGTAGGAATGTGTTACACCCCATGTTTTCATATGTAAAAGTACGCCATAAGTAAATTGATGAAAGCTCGGAAATGAAATATTACATCCTGTATTTTCGTACGTTAAAGTTTCATCATAAGATTCATCGACGTAAGCTCGGGAATGGGATTATTTTGAGATTATAAGTATTACGCTATTTCAAACAAGTGATAAGTAAATTCGTGAAGGTGAGAGGGTAAGAAAATCGAAGAAAATGAATTTCGTCAAAGTTTAACATTTTGAGATAAAATACCGCCCAAGCTACAATACCCCGTATTTATGGACTAGTGCCATACAAGGTATCACATGACCATGATAGCAAGATGTATACATTTTGTTAAAAGTGAGTAGTATTATAAGTAAATTGAGATAATTCTTAATTATGTGGGTAATTGGTTAATTATTAAATTAGTGGAGGATTAATAAGTTAATTAAGGAACGAGGGTGAATTTCATCCTCGTGAAAGGTGATATTGTGCCTCTCCAGTACCTGCCCTACCATGTTTGCCATCTCTCCACTGGTGATGTTGTTAGGCGCATAATCTTCATTCAACACCTTCATCCGAGCATTCCTATGCGCCTCAGAATTTTGTACGCAGCGACAGGATGGATATCGTGGGTGGGAGTCTTATTCAGATTATCAACAATAGAGTATTATCTTTCCTGTACTTTCCTCCAGAGATCATCCGAGCCAGTTTCAATAACGCGTTGCTTGGTAGCAGCTTCCTTGCTTGTTCCTCCCAAATTTTTGGGTGTATTGATCCTTCCAATTATGGTCATCCCCTATGCAGCACCAGATTGTTCCATCTTTGCTTTTCCCTTTCTCCTAGCTTCAGCAACGTAGTCCCAAGGTATGGTGTTCGACTTGAAAGGAGGTGTGGGTGCTATCGTCACAGTGAAGGGTATGGGTAATTCTACTTCGAATGGAGCCGGTGTAGTTGCAGGTGCTGTTACTTCAACTTCAAATGGGACTGATCCGGCTACTTCAACTGGTGGCTGTGTGTGTACCACAATAGGTGTGAGCGTGACTGCAGGTTTAGGGTCATCACCTTCCCGAATAAGCCCAATCGACCCCTCAAGATCCCATTCTTTATCAATTTCTATCATATTTACTCCTTGACCTCTATGATATGGGAGGGGATTGTTGCGGACATTTGGTGAGGCTTTCTTTGCTTGTATTACTTTGGTATCAATCATGGTTTGAATCTTGTCTTTCAGAGTGAAACATTCATCAATAGTATGCCCTTTCATGTCAGAATGGTATGCACATGTTTTGTTTGGGTTGACTTACTAGGAAGAGTTTTCCATGGCAACAGCAGGAATAGGGGTAACATATCCTGCAGCCTTCAATCATTCATATAGTTGGTCAATGGGTTCAGCAGTACGGGTATATTGTCTAGGCGGTCTGCGATTAAAATTGGGTTTGGGTTTTTGATAGTTTTGACGGGTTGGAGGTGAATGGTAATAGGTTGGCTGGGTATTATAAGTGTGATAAGAGGTAGCGGGTTGAGAATATCTAGGAGGTGAAGGTTGATATGTGGGTTGAGGTTTTTGGTATGTGAGTGGAGATTTTAGGCCTTGGGCCACCATCACTGCCCTACTTCTTTCTTCTTCGATATACCCCCTAACTGTAACGCTTTGTTCGTAGACTGCAATGCCTCAAAATTGGTCACCATCCCACTCTTGATCCCTTCTTCAATCCTTTCTCCGAGTTTGATAATGTCGGAGAACTTGTGATTTTCGATGACCATTAACCTTTCACAGTATTGGGGATCCTGGGCCCTGACGAAGAATTTGTTCATATGCTCTTCCTCTAGTGCCGGCGTGACTTTTGCAGCTTCTGACCTCCATCAAGTAGAATACTCACGAAAAGTCTCGGTTGGTTTCTTCTATAGGTTCTGTATGTAGAAGACATCCGGTGCATTCTCTGTGTTAAACCTGAATCGATCCATGAAGTTTGATGCCATGTTTACCTAATTNGGCATCGTTGTCGGGATTGGCAATTAATATGTTTGAAATAGTTTTTAGTGCTAATTATGTTAAAAAAAATTGTTTAATTTTATTTATTTTTTCTTTTTACGCGTGGTGTTCTTTGACTATGCGCAGGTTACAGGTTAAGCTTGGTGCATGACTCGAGCTTCTGAGAAAGAAGTGCTAGCATACGAGCCAGAGATAGAAAAATAAGTGTGACAGCTGAGGAAGGAAATAGATCTCACCGAGATATTAGAGAAGATTGGGCAATCCTCAACCAAAGGAACTATGGTTGGAAACAGTGATGATAACGTAGATTTGGCTGCAAGAGAGGCAAACCAACAACGAGAAAAAGCTGCACGGGATGCTGAGGAAGCAGCTATTTGAGATGCGCAGATTATCTATGAAGAAGAGAAGGCTCAGAGAATTGCTCAAAATCATGCCTTGGCTGCAGACCAGTTCGAAAATATAGCTCCCGAGCCTGGAAGACCACTTGGCGATTATGCTAGAACGGTCTACAATCAAGGCTTATCAAGTGTTAGACCACAACCAATTGTAGCTAACAATTTCAAGTTGAAGCAAAGGTTGCTTCAAACCATTCAAAACTATTGTGTCTTCAGAGGAAAGATGAACGAAGATCTAAACACACATCTAATGGACTTCGAGGAGATTATGAACACCTTTCAATACAATGGGGTGTCACAAGATGCAGTGTACCTAAGGGCATTCCCCTTTTCACTTAAAGATGATGCAAAGCAATAGCTTCGAAGCTTGCCCACGGGATCGATTAGAACATGGGATGAGATGAACAGAAAAGTCCTTGATAAATATTTCTCCTCAACTAAGACGGGCAAGTTTAGAAGAGAAATCCATAACTTCTGCCAAAAAGAGTCTGAAACTGTTTCTGAAGCATGGGAGAGCTTTAAGGAGATAATTAGAAAGTGTCAACATAGTGGAATTGAACTTTGGATGTAACTCTAGGACTTTTAGGATGTATTGACACCAGCCTCGCGTAGAAAATTGAGCAATGCAACCAGAGGCCCATTGATGAAGAAGACTCCGGAGGATATAGTTATAATTCTTGATGAGTTGTCTGAAGATGCAAATCAGTGGCCCTCTGAGAGTGCTGAAAGAAGAAGATCAATTGGTGTTCACCATGTTGATGCTAATACATCTATGCAGGTATAGCTTGATGTTATGGCTAAAAATATACGGAAGCTCACCATAGCTTCGATACAAAGTGAGCCTCACGCAGCTTGTGATATATGTGGAAGATGACACCCTACTCATAAGTGTCGGGCCTCAACTGAGGAAGTGAATGCTGTGCGAAATTATAATTTTAATGCAATGGGTTAGAAGCACCCCGATTTTTCATGGAGTTCACCTGGGGGTACTGCGAATGCATGGCAACAAAACAACCCCAGATTTCAGGGACAAGGAGCTCCTGGTTTCATGAATCAACAGAGGCTACAGTTTTAGCCTCAACAGCCCAATCAGCCTGGTCTAGAAGATCTTATGAAAGCTTTCATTATGAAAACTAATGAAAGATTTGAAGTACAAGGGGCAACAATTCTAAAATTAGACAAGACAATTGCAACAATATTATCTGAGAGGGTTCCAGGAACTCTCTCGGCTGATATTGAAAGAAATCCCAAAGAAACGGTGAATGATGTAACCGTGAGAAGTGGCAAGTGTTGAAAGATCCCACCCCAATCCAAAAAGATGTGATACTTGAAAAAGAAAGTGGGGAGCAGTTGAAGAATGATGTTGATAAGAAGAAAAAAGGCCAGAAGAAAGCTGAGAAAAGAAGGAAGAAGAAAATTCGAGAAGGGAGGAACCTGGGGAAAGCGAGCATATGCCTGCTTTACCTTTTCTCCAAAAGCTATGTAGAGAAAAGTTGGAATAGCGATTTGAGAGATTTCTGGACGTGCTAAAACAGGTTCATGTAAACTTTCCATTCACATAAGTGCTCTCACAAATGCCTGCCTATGTTAAGTTCTTGAAGGAGATCCTGACGAAGAAGAGGATAATAGAGGAGACTGCAGTGGTCAAGCTCACAGAGCATTGCAGCGCGATATTGCAAAATAAACTCCCACAAAAGTGTGGAGATCCAGGGAGTTTTACTATACCTTGCTCATTAGGAACTATTAATTTTAATAAATCTTTATGTGACTTTGGTGCCTCAATTAATTTAATGCCTCTATCTATTTACAGGAAACTGGAGAAGGAGATTGAAGAGATAAGGTCTTCACCAATATCTTTGCAGCTGGCAGGCCAAACGACTTTAATACACGAGGGGATAGTGGAAGATGTGTTAGTTCGGGTGGATAAGTCTGTATTTCATGTAGATTTTGTAGTGGTGAAAATAGAGGAAAACAAGGAGGTCACTCTCATCCTAGGAAAACCATTCTTAGCGACGGGCATAGCTATATTAGATATACAAGAGAGAAAACTCATGCCTAGAGTGGGTGAGGAAATTGTGACTTTCAAGATGGATGTAGAAAAGGGGGCGCAAAAGGACAAACCAGCTGCAAGTGTTGAGTGGAAAATAAAGGGCTCGAAAGAGAAGGTTGGTGAGTGAGAAAGATAAGTGTGTACCCAAAAAAGGCCGAGAAGCAGTTGTCTGCATGGATGTGTGCATTAGTTCGGGCACGAGGAATGGAGCCCGACTTCGACTCAGATTCGGACTAGATATTCAGGGAAGTTTCCTTTACCTTATGCTTTTTAATTGTGTGTCATAGGGACATGCCACAACTTAAAGAGTGGGATGTGGAACATTTGTATGTTGTATGTATATGTGTTTCTTTTTGTTAGTTTTAGTAGCTAGAAAAATTGGGGGGGGAAAATATTAAAATTTTAAAAAAAAATTAATTTTTCCCGACGATGGATATCATCGACAGGTTTCTTGAGGGATTTAAGTCGAAGGAAAAACACAAAAAGATTTTCTTTTGTAGGTAGTGTAACAATTCCTACTTGATTTTTCTTTATGCCACGTTTCTTTTACAAGGGTTTTGTTTGAACTGGGTGTAGTTAGTTTTTATTTTGTTAGGAGTAGGAAACCTTGTGCTATAATTTGAATTGATAGAAATATCCCTTGACTTTATTATACCCTGAGAATATTGAGTACCTTAGTTGTGATGCATAGGTTTAGTTTTTTACTCTTGTATAAGTACCTTAAATTGTATGATTTTAACTTTGCTTAACTGTTTTTACTAAAGTGTCTTGATGATTTCGATCTTGAATGAGTTATGTTCCATGTGTGTGCGAGGTGTTTGTGTTATTCTGTGCTTTGCATTTGGTGTCTAGAACTTGCCACGTGTGTTTGCAAAGCAAAATAGTAGTTTTATTCGGTCGTGGAAGTGATATAGGCATTTTTTTGTTGATCCAGATATATGTTTTACCCACCTAATTGTTATGTATCTTAGTTAACCCCTTTGAGCCTGTAATCTTGTTTCTTTAGCAACCATATTACAAGCCTTACCCATTTGTTTGAATTGACCATCTATTTGAACCTTTTACCTCTCGTGAGCACTTGAATTTGTTATGAACTTTGTAAAAGTTAATGTGAGGGGTGTTGGTTGGGTTTTTGAGTGGAACTGTTGAAATAATGAGAAAGGTGCACTGTTTTGGAATAAATAAGAGCCACTTGAAGTGGAAAAAAAAAAGTAAATAAAAAAAAGTGTATTGTTGTGCAAATATTCCTTGATAGTGGTAACTCTTGATGTATTTGTGCTTAAAGAAGTAGGAGTTAATGTATATTGATATGAAGGTAGAGTTATGGTTTGACATAAGTGTGGGGTTTTGAACGAGTAATTATGTATTAAAGTGCTTAGGGGGGTGTAGGCACTCTATATCTAAATGTATCCTACCCATCCCGCAGCCTACATTACAACCACTAAATTCCTGGTTGATCTTTGACTGAATGAGCTCAATTAGTAGAGTAGTACACTACGAGCAAGCCTATGGTACGTCTTTTGTGGCATATAAATGTTGTTTCTGAGAGTGAGTGAATTCTTTCTATCTTGAGTTCCTGATTGTTCTTAAATTTTATTGTGTGTGGAACTACTCTCGATAGTTGGGTGAGGGCGCTTGATTCACGAAGGAAAGGTAATGTCGTTGACCTCTATGTTAGAGTAAGTGAGCGGGTTGTGAAAAATGCATGGTGCTTTTGAGTCAAATCTTGAGGCAAGGATGTTACGTTAGAGTGCTTAGTCTGTTCTAAATATTCTTGGTATGATGAGTTAGGAGAGTTGTTTAAAAGGCCATCTTTATGTGAACTGTAGTTTGATTGCTCGAGGACGAGCAATGGTTAAAGTGTGGGGTGTTGATGGTAGGCTATAATCTCGTGTTTTAGTCGCTTATTGCACTCTAATTCACGGCACTTTACTTGTGTTGAGCTTTAATTGGTAGTATTATGCAGTTATTCCGTATTTTATACCTTGTAGGAATGATTCTGAGTTATGTAGATGTTGTGGATCTAAATCAAATAATTGGAGCTTTGAAGTCTGAGTAAAAGCCCAAGAGATTAAGCCGGGATCGTGTTTGGGGGTCGAGGATCACTTCTGGACATCAAAATCAAGGAAGAAGCAACAGTTTGAGGAAATGCACTAATGCGACGCACCATACGTAGCACAGTGCGTCGCATCAGTCCAAATATGCATCAGAAATTTGAGAAGTTGAGAGACTTGTAGTTTTTGGGTCTGACAGAAAAATACACTAATGCTAGGCATAGTGCGTAGCATCAGTACAAAATGTTGTCAGACAAGCTAAGTCAAAGAGTTTACAACCAAGACAATTTCACTAATGCTTACGCACCCTGCGTAGCATAGTGCGACGCATGAAAAGTGATAAGTTTGCAAGTTTTCCTATTTCGGCTAGGAAAGGGAGGTTTCGTCTGGGCCTGACCCTACTAGGTATAAATACATGGAAAAATGTTATTTTCTGGATTTTTGACATACTTTTGATCCAAGGAAGCTGAGGAGTTGGAAGAACACAAGCACAAGGATTTCATCATTCCTTCCTCACTTAAGACCCGATTTTGGATCGAATCTATGTTTTCCTGTACTTTAATTATATTTGTGATGAATTTCTCCATGATTATGGAGTAGTTCCCTTTAGGGTTTGATGGATTTGTTGTATTGATGATTGTTTGTTGAATATAACTCTATTTATATTATTGAATCGTTTTTGGATGATTTAATTGTTCCATCTATATTCACTTGTTCATGTAATCGAGAGGGGCATAACTTGTGATATCTTTGCATTATATTGTCGGTTGAGTTCATTAATTCTTCTTAGTAATCAAAAGAGACTAGTTGAATCATTGATTAAACCTAGTTAGGAGATAAATGAGAGAGGTTCACCTAAAGACCAATTCACTACGCATTCTTGCATACCTTCACGGTGCTTAAATTGGTTCATCTTGTGAGGTTGAGACTTAATCGAGAGAGGATTTTTCGTTAAACGTTTGAACTAATAATTAAGTGAATTCGAGAGACTCACTTGAACATTAGAAATGAATTATCTATAGTTAGATCCCAAGCAATTATCTTGCACATATCCTATCAAAACCCTATCTTCTCCCACTGATAACCTTCTTTGCTTGTTCCATGTTTCGATTGTCATTAGTCAAGAGCTTTAGATTCTTAGTTAATTTTAGTATTAATCACATAAATATCAACTGCATCAATCTAGAAACTACGAGAATACTGTTTAACTCCAGTCTCTGTGGATAAGATATAATACTATACTATATTTTATTAGCGAGCATAGGTTAAGTGTGTTTTTTGCGCTCGTCACCCACATGGTCAAAGCCCGAGTCAAGGAGTAGATCCCAGCTACCAATTGCTCCACGAGTCCAAATATGTATTTGGTTTCCAAATCCAAGTCCAAATCATAACTCAAAACCTCAATTTTCTCTCTCTTATATAGCCACAAACAACTCGATACAATCAACACAAGCTATAGGAATCAATTCCATACGAAAATGCTAAGTTCTTAATCAAAGGTCAAAAAGTCAACTCAAAAGGTTAATCCCGGGACCACGTCTCGGAATCCAACAAAAGTTACAAAATCCGAACACCCATTCAACCACGAGTCCAACCATATCAAAATTACTCAAATCCGACACCAAATTGTCACTCAAATTCCCAATTCTTACTCTCCAATTCCTAGCCCAAAACTCCCAAAATTACACCTTAAAAACACATAAATTAGGTGGGAAATTCAATGGGTAATCAATACAATTAGATAAAAATGACCAAAAGTGGCTTACCTCAAGAAATCAAGCGAAACCCCTCTTTAAATTCGCCTCCAATCGAGCTTGCAAAGTCCAAAAATGATTAAAATCTCGGAACCCTTCAATTTTAATTACTGCTCAGGCCTTTCGCTTTTGCGGCCCAAAATTCGCATCTGCGGAATCGCTTTTGTGATGAAAACTCCGCTTCTGCGAAGTTCCCAAGCTCCACATCTGACCCCCCCCCCCCGAAGTTCGCTTCTGCGGAAGTGCTTCTGCGGAACACCGGTTATCCTTGCTTCTCCCCCTCAATCCGCTTCTGCGACCTCCTTTCTGCAGGTGCGACTCCACTTCTGCGGATCACCTCTTCGCACCTGCGATCGCTGCCCAACTCTTTCCAGACCGCACCTGCAACCACTTCTTCGTTTCTGCGGTCACGCACCTGCGACTAATCCTCTGCAGGTGCGATGACACCAGACATCAGCAGCCCAGTAATTCCCCTAAGTCAAAATCCAATCTGATATCCATCCAAATTATCCCCCAGGCCTCCGAGACCTCAACTAAATATACTAACCAGTCCTAAAATACGATACGAACCTAGTCGAGGCCTCAAATCACATCAAACAATATCAAAAACACGAATTGCACCCAATACAAGCCTAATGAAAACTAATGGATTCCAACTTCTACAATCGATGCCGAAGCCTATCCAATCAATTCCAGTTAACCTCAAATTTTGAACACATGTCATAAATGACACAACTGACCTATTCCAACTTCTGGAACCAAACCGAGCCCGGTAACCACAAAGTCAACTCTCGGTCAAACTTCTCAACTCTCCGAACTTCTAATTTTCCAACTTTCGCCATTTCAAGCCAAACTCACCTACGGGCCTCCAAATCAATATCCGGACACACTTCTAAGTCCAAAATTACCATACGGAGCTATCGGAACCATCAAAACTCTATTCCAGAGTCATTTACACATAAGTCAACATCCGGTCAACTCTTTCAACTTAAGCTTCCAACCTTGGGACTAAGTGTCTCAGTTCATTCCGAAACATCCCCGGAACCAAACCAGCTACCCCGACAAGTCACATAACAATATTGAGCATAGAATAAGCAGTAAATGGGGGAACGGGGTTACAACACTGAAAACGACCGACCAGGTCGTTACAAGTATATATAGTTTAGTAATATTTATATAATTTTTAAAGTTTTATACTTATCGATATGGAGTACTCGCGCAAAGTACATACCCGTATATTAAAATAACACGAAACAAACCATTAATACTCTTAGTTGGAGCTGTTAAAGAAAATGACTTCTATCCATAAATAAAGGAAA